CTTGGTTGTAAAGCCAAATAGCCTATAAAGAGCCATAAACTAGTAACCTAAATATAGGCCACCAAAATTGCCACTTTTACATCTTGCTTCATTACCACTTTCTTCTGGATCCTTGAATACATCTCATATACTCACCACCTTATTTCAAAGGTGAATAATAGTATTAATCCAACTAGTAGAGGTTTCGTGAGAAATAAACATTTAGTGACCATAAAGTGTTCAGAAGACAAAATTACAGTACCTGATGTACAAAACTGCATTACAAAGAAATGCCAAACTGAAAAAATAGAGAGAGAGATGCAGAGACAGACAGACAGACAGAGACTGGGCACCATGCCATTACTGATTAGGTAGAATCTCTGCCTTTTGGGAGTTTACAAACCAAACAGTAAGGGCAGAAATTAAACAATGAGGAATAAGGTTTGTGAGAGTTCATACAGGTAGGTGGCTCAGTAGATAGAACACCAGGCCAGGAGTCTGAGCCTTGGACACTTAATAGTTATGTGATTCTAGGCAAATCACTTAATCGCTGTTTGCTTCAGTTTCCTCATATGTAAAATGAGGATAATAAAAGAACCTATCTCCCAGGGTTGTTGGGAGGATCAAATGAGATAATAATTGTAAAAGCACTTAGCACTGCAGCAGCCACATAGTAAATTCAATGAGGATGAGGATGAAGATGATGAGGACGAGGATGATGAGGATGGAAACTCATAAAACACTGTGAGCCTGATTTTTTTTAGGAATTCACAGTAATCTATAAGTGCCATTGTCAATTTTTAGAGGTGATTCAAATTAGTACTTTCACTGCAACCAAAAATACATCTGATTTTTCACAGCTCCATGTCAAGATCAGAAATTTTAGTCACAGATACCCTCAGCTGCTCTGTCTCTGCATATGTTCATCAGGGTGCCCAACCACAATCAAAGAATTCTAGATTTGGAAGGAGCCCCAGCAGCCACCTTAGTCCACCTGAGAGAAATACCCAGCTTTCCTACTTCCTGCTCATAACCTCAGTTTCCTCATCGAGAAAAGGAAATGGTTCCTGCTTTAAGTACTGTGATCCTTTCTGATCTACTCAGGCTTGACATGTCATCCTCTCAACCCCTCCCAAATTCAGTTAGTCACTAAATCCCATCATTTCTTCCTTTGTAACACCTTTCACTTATTTTCTTTAATTTCCTCTCCTGCAGTTTGCCACCACCCAAATTCAGATCATCTCATGCCTGAATTATTCCAACTACTCTTCTAGCCTTATTTTTCTCCCTATTGCAACACATCCTTCACCTTATATATTACATTGATTTTCCCAAAAATGTCCCTTTTTCATATCATTACCCTGCTCAAAAACTACCAATTGTTCCTTGCGGTTTGGAGGAAGCCTTCCAAATGCAGATTTTCATGGTAAAATTTACACAACCTTTCTGTTTGCACTGCTATCAAAACCTCTGAACAAAGGGACAAGGGGTTGTGTGATATACCTTGGTGTGGAAGGGAACCAGGCTGTTAATTAGTCCAATATTTGTGATCCCTGACTCCAAGGTACAGTCCTTATTCCTTAATCTGATATTCAAAAACTCTCTCCAATCTAGCCCTACCTACCCTTTTCAACCTTCTTGTAAACTATTCTCTAACACTAATTCTGAGTTCCATTCAGGTTGGTCTTGTTACTTTTTTGCTCATTCCCTTCGCTTCTCTACCTAAACCCTTCCATGCCCAGCTCTTGCCCTATACTACCTCTGTGGGTAAATACCTGTCTAAACTTAGTCACTTAATCTCTCTGAGTCTGTTTCCTCATCTGCAAAATAAGAGTTTTTAACCTTTTAGATCCCTCTCAGTTCTAAATCTATATGTAATCCTAAGACCCTTGATAAAGCTTTTTTTCTAATTACTCCAAACACAGTGATTTCTAGCCCATTAATACCAATGAACACTAAGCCACAGGCTATCTACTCCTAGTATTAAACATTTCATATACATATGTTTTATCTTCCTAAATAAATTGTCTTTGGTTGTGCCTATAAGGACAAAGTTATTTTTTCACCAGTGGCATGGGAAATACTCTAAACACTACCTAGGGCATTAAGCCAACTTGGCATGTTTATTTCTTCACTTCTAGTGGAGTTATGATTACACAGAGCATTTCCCCTATTAATCATGCCCAAAGTCTTTGAGGAAAATAACAGGACATGTATTAGGTTATATCCATCACTGACAACTACCTTCTATTCCAAGTTGAAATCAGAATCCTGTATGTAGCGTGAATCGGATAGCATGAAAAGATGAACTGGCTCACTTGACTATATAATTAAAAATTGATTTCTAACTTTGTCTCATCCTCTTTTCAGGATATTTGCTTTTTTCCTCTGTAAAATAGAGGTATTTATGTCACCTATCATTTCATATATAGTATCCCAGAGGTCTAAGAAACACACAATTTTAACACAAACTACTACAAATGAAAAGAAAGATTATGTTATGATAAATGCCAAGGCCAAGACTCTTGCACTTTGGCTCAGCTATCTGAACAGTCTAAGATGATTCACTTCACTCTTGGGAATTTTATAGAGTCTCAACAATTGGAAGCAAGACCTTATTCCTCAGGAACATACTGCTATTTTGTTCTGGCACAGAGTAGGTAATTTGTCAGTCATCCACTGCCATACAATGAGAGGTCTATAAGAAGGCATTTATTCAGGAAGCATATATAAAATAATCATGTGTGAGCTCTCTTGTACTACACTGTCTGATGTCACTAATCAGATCTTTCTGTTACAATTATCAGGGCTGGAAAGGACTACAGTGACCAACCTGTACTTTGAGGAGAATCCCCTCTACAACAAACCTGACAAGTAATCAGTGTTTGCCTGAAGACCTCCAGCAATAGGGACTCTTACTATCTCCAAGGGAACCCACTTTGAGAGAGTGCAAATTTAGGAAGCTTTTCCTGTCACCAAGACTTTAAATCACCTATTGCCCCCAGTTCTGTCCTTTCAGACCAAGTAGAACATATTAAAGGCTAGAAACAAAACAAGCCTATTGAGGGAAATGGCTAAAAAAAAAAAAAGGAAAAAAAAAGCTAGTACTACATTAAAGCAGTGGACTATTACTGTTCTTTAAATTAAAAAAAACATGAATATGAAAATTTTAGAGGAGATGTATGGAAGAACCAGGAAAATGATTTTCCAGTCAATAACAATATAAATGGAAAGAAAACACACACACAAACTAAACACCATGTAATTACTATGACCAAGCCTGATCCTGAGGAACAGATGAAAAAATATATCCCCCTCATTTCTCTGATGAAGTAGAGGGTCATGGTTGAAACACTTTGCATAAAATGTCAGACTCAGTTGATGCATTGTTCATTCAGCCTTGACAAACTGCTTTTTTTTTCCCTTTTAATTTTTCTTACAAGGGATGACTCTGGGGTAGGAAGGAAGAAGGAATATATTTGGAAATTAACATTATGTCAAAACAAAAGATTGCAATAAAATTTTAAAATAAAAAAAATATGATGAGGATTCCCTCAAGTTAATAAGATTATACACCAATGTGGAAATAGGAAAATTCAAGTTCTACTATGAAATCCAGTCCTAAGTGTAATAATGTCATCTTTTGGAGTGATATCACATTCTCCACATTTTTATGCTAATTTGTTCACCTAATGTAATGTTCATACAATGTTCTGAGCAGTCACCTTCATGCCTAAATGAACAGCTCTATTCCCATGTCTTAAGAGTTCCTCAGTTATCTGCACAATGAAGAGTTGGAGGGATTCCTTTATCATTCTATCAGTGAGAAACAAAAGAAAAAACCTCATAGGGAAAGATGAAAGCTCTTATTTGCTCCATATTTATTCCTACCACAATATCGTGTATCAGTGTATCAGTGTATCAGTGTATTCTTTCCTTCAAAGTGTATCTGGAGTTATTTCACTAGACAGCAATTTGTTTGTGGTTTCTGGGCTTTTGTCTGTTTGGCATGATCCATGCCCTTTCCTTGCATATGTGTCAAAAAAGCTGTTTCTTCCTTGGAGACGTTAGCAGGCTCATTACACCTTTTATATAATTAATTGAAAGGTTAAACCCATCAGTAAAACTAGCAAGCAAGACCCTACATATAAGACATCCTGCCAAATATCCTCCATCAAAGATGAAATATAAAGAGAATAACAAATGTTAGTTTATCTCAAGTGTTTCTACAAGTTCCTGTCTAAATCAATGACAATGGAATCATGAACATTCTAGGATTCTATTAAATTCTTCATAGTGATAAACAAGGAGAATGTCATATACTCCCTTTCTTCCTAAATTTAGTATTACTATAAAAACCTTCCTACCTTGATGTATTGTTCATGAACCCCTACAGTCCTATATACTGGGGGGAAAAATAAATGTGTTTGGGAAAAATGTACATTTATTGAATGTTTAAGTCACTTTTATTGGAAGGCAATTTTCAGGATTATAATTTGCTTATGTGATTTTAAAAACTGGAATCATAATCTCATTTTTTCCTATCATTTGACAGCTTTATATACTTATAACCCATTCCCAAGATCATTCTCTCCATTCTCCTGTAATTTTATATTATACACTCTACCAACTACCTTTGTAAATAGAATATTCATTAAGCAAGGTTTCATTTCTATTCATCAAATAACTAGGCTAACCTGCTATATTTGTGCTATTGCAGTCCAGGCTTCCTTTTCATAATGTGCTTACATAGAACTTGCCCCATAAGTCTTCTGAACCCAATGTCACATTATTCTGTATTTCCTATGTTGCAAAAGAATAAGGACTTTATACAAAAAGACAAGTTGCCATTTACCTTAGGCAAGGAAGCAGTAAGAGGTACATCCTCAAGATGACTGCTCATGAGAATAATTTTCAGGTGTGACAAAGGGGAAAAAAGCATGTTTTGCTGAAAAATTTAAATTGGAAACTTCAATGTCAAGATTAGAGGGCACGAGAATAAAAAAAAAGAAACATGTGACTTAAATGCATCAGCAAGTTTATTTACAAATGCAGTTCGAACAGTAAAGAAATACACTAGCTCTTGGGGAGGAAAAAAAAACTTTTGTTGCACAAGCCATAGTTATATTTTCTTAGTGAAGAGAAGAAACTCTTAAGAGTGAATTGTTCAAAACTAAATCCACTGATCAACCAATACAAGAGTCCCCCTCATCAAAAAAAAAAAAGAATATTATATATGAATATGGGAAAAAAATCACAATGGGAGTAAGTTAGAAAACCAGACTACAGAAAACAAATATTAATGCAATAGGTCTGCATTGCTTATTTTGTGGTATACATTACAAATACAGTCAGCCATTGCAAATATATTTAAATTAGCTATTTCAAATAATGTTTAAGAGCATTCTTTCTTTCAAAAAAACATCCTCTTCATACACCATTGGAAAGTCAAGCTAGATATGAATTATTAGCCTCAAAAATATTTTGAAATTATTATTAAGTATTTGTTCTCCCTTGTGCTTTTAATATGCTGAATTCAAAAAGTGAATACTGTGCTTTTCCCAAAACATGATTACCTTCTTATAAATAACAAAAAAAAATACAGTTAACATGAGGGATATAAATGTTCCTATGTAATCTAGACAGGCCAAAAAAAAAAGTTACTCTTTAAAAAAAAAGACATACAATATATATTTATAGATCTACACCAGCAGCAACCACCTCTTCTTCTATCTGCAACAGTGCTTTCGTATGGAGGTTAACTTCACATGGAGGTTGGCTGTCCAGCTGATCAGGCAAGGAGAAAAGAAAGAAGAAAAATACTTAGATTCAGAAAGAGTTCAATATTGAGTATCCGGGCAATCGTGTTTTGAGAAAATCACTAAGACTGAGTGAAGTAAGTCTTGCAACTCAATCATTGGACAAATAAACTATATCTTTTGGGCAGGAGGATTTCTCCTCATTTGCAAAATAAAGACGAAATTTAATGACTTGGATAGAAATAAATTGTAGCCAACTCTCACTTATTTGTGCTAATGGAGGGAAGAGGAGGTCCCAATAGTACAAAATGATAATTACTATACCAATTCCCCCCCCTGAAAAAAATCCACATAGTCAACTTAATACATTCCTAACCTTGACATTCTCATACCAGGAATCCACTATCAGCAGCTCAGGATATGGCTTGACCCTTAGGGTGAGAAAACCTCAGCATAACAGACAATCCATTGAACGAATAATCCATCCCCAGAAAAAAGAGAATTAGCTGAGCATAAGTCATTAATAAAGCACTCAGCAAATAAAGGTCTACACAAATACCTCATAGTTCAAAATCATATTGTTTTGCTGATAAGGAAGAAACACAGGTTACCAGCATCGCTGTCCAAAATATAAACAGCAGTCATGGTTGCGTTCACATGGCTATAAACAAATGGCAAGTCCATTAACTTTATTCTCCTATGGTTTATAACACACTAAAAAATGAATTCTTTTAAACCTAAACAAAAGTGTCACATGCTAAGACACAAAGCAGCATTTGGGACTTCAAAAATTTGAATCTCCAGAAGAAAGATGCTGAAGGCCCAAATAACCCTGAGAAATATTGCTTTGCTTTTTGGGGTAGGGGGGGAAACGTGTAGAAAGACAGTCTCAAAATAATAACAGCAAACTTTAACACCTGTTCTTTTTTTTTTTAACTTTTGATTTTAGGAAATGTTATAGTCAAAAAAAATTCAAAACCATTAACCTAATTTGGTTACTTTCTAAGAAACATATTCAAAAGTTTAAACTTAGACATTTGTTAAAATGAGGTGAAAGTAAGGAAAAAAGGAAGAACTAGTTCTTAAGAAGACTAACTTCATATCTCTTATTTTCCTTTTAGCCAGGCTTTTTTAACAGTTCTGTGTACCCCAGGAGGGCAGCAGAGGGGACAACTCCTGGGTCTGCAGCTCCATACAACCCCCTTTCTTGACCTCATAAATCACCCTCTTGTGCTGACATCCTGAGAAATCACCCAACTCTATTCAAACCCTCCCTGGAAAGGGGCAGCTTTAAGTTTTTACAAGAAGTTAAGTCCTAAAAATGGGGATTCTGAGGCAGGGTGCTTGTGGGGGTAGCAAGTGTAGATTCAGGAATGTACATGGGAGCCCGAGGTCTCTTTAAAAGGCAAGAGATTTTCTCTCTGATTTGCTCTCTTACATTTGAATCGGAGATAGCACTCATTGCAGTACAATTCATTATTTCGGATTCTGACTTCTGCTCCTGAGCTGGAGCCCCCAAGGTCACGCTCACAGGCCACACACTGGAAGGGAGACAGCAATAATTAGTTATCTGTGCCATACAAGAGCTTGCTTGTGGAAATAATGAATAGAAGCACTGAGAGAGAGAGAGAGAGAGAGAGAGAGAGAGAGAGAGAGAGAGAGAGAGAGAGAGAGAGAGAGAGAGAGAGAGAGAGAAGGAGCTTCTAATTCCCTTAACCAACATTAGCAAAAGCAAACACAATGATTAGTGGATGAGAAGGAAGTGCTCCAGATGAGACATGAGTTTGATTACATCAAGCCAACTTTCATTCTAAATATGCTGGGAGGCAGAAATGAATCATTGATTAATTTAACGAAATCCTAATCTTCAGGTTTCCTGGGGTGGGGTGAGGGAGTGAAAAGTCATGGCATCACATGAAAGACCTACCTCTGTTCATCAAGGAAGGCTGGGATGTGGGCCCAGCTTTCTGAGGTGGGCCCTTGATAGATCCCATGCAGTATCAATTCCAACCTATTTCTCACATGGAACCTTATGTTCCATGAAAGTTATTTTGGCCCCACAATTTTGTTGGTGTATTTGGAGAACATTAAACATTTTGGTTTATTCTGTTAAGCCAACATGCAAGCCTCTAATCTCATTGCACCAGTTAGAGCAAGCCTGGTGTTTATGTCCTGTAGGACAATGATGAACCAATCATTGTACTTACTCTCCTTCCCAAAGTAAGTGCTCCTCAGATAATGGACCTACATAATATTTCTCTAATAATAAGCATCTCACAAGGCATAAATTACAGCCTTTTTTTTAAATGTGGATTGTTTTGTTTTTACATATGCGGAATGTCAAGTGGGTACATATGGGGCATACAATTAAAATTTATAGCAATTTTTTTTCATTTTTATATTCTCCATTTCAATAGCAAATAAAACTTAGGGTAGGAAATAACTCCATGACCACTATATTTCTCATAGCATTAACCTATGTCTAAAGCATGTTTACCACCACCTGTTTGATAATATTACAGGGGCAAACCACTCTAAAGATTACCTTTGACTACAGGCACCCTCACTCTCCACCCCTGGAAAAACAAAACAAAACAAAACACAAAAACTATATTTTAAATGACAACATAAAGGTGGTTGTACTTTGTTCAGTGGATCAAAAAATATGCCAGAATTTTGAGGATATCATAGTGGTGCTTCCAAATCAGACCCTCTATTAAGTACAAGCTTTAGGAACTAAATATTAGTAGAAAACTCAGCAGAAAGGCCATGTGGATTGATGCCCAAAGCTTAAGGCTAGTTAGTAGTGTCCCCACAACCAGCGATCCAAGAAGCCATGCGTTCTCCAAGCCAAGCCCCAGTCTTCATGTTGCTTCTCTCAATTCTCACCTTAAAACAATGTAAATGATAACAAAGCCCCAAAGACTCGATGATCATGGCCGCTCCCTTGCCCAGAATGTTATTACAGTAGGAGCATACTCTCTTCCCACTGACTGACCTGGACACAGAACAAGAATGGGATGGAAGTCTTGTTTTTCAAGGTAAAGATAGAGGGCATCTTAATATTAACATAATACACTTGAGGTTGGAGTCTTTTCTTTAAAGAAAAAATTCTTCATGAGAAAAAGTAGATGGTCAGAAAACATTTTAGTTATATAGAAACACACCTAAACTTTTGTTTGTAACTATTGTCCATATAGTGATAGTGGCATTATACAGAGGTACTAAAATATCTTTCTCATTGAATTACACATAATACTGCAGTAATAATTTGCTCTGACATTTTCATGTTGCTAACCCAATCTGTAAAATTAAAATTTTAAAACATTAATGAATGAAAGTCTCTGCCCTCAAGGAGCTAACATTCTATTGGGGAGTCAGGTGGTACACAGTATATACACAGCTAAATAAATACAAGGTAATTTGAGGAGGGAGAGTATACTAATAACTGGAGAAGATTAGAGGAGGTGACATGGAGGAGATGACACCTGAGTTGACCTTTGAAGGAAGACAGAATTCTGGGAAGTCAAGTAATGAGGAAGTACACCCTAGGTATAGGGGACCAGCTGAGTTCAGGATCAGTGAGTTCAGGAAACAGCTCAGCTGTAGGAAGAATTAGAGGAGCATAGACTTAGGGCTAAAAAATGACCTGAGAGGTCATCTAGTCCAACCTTGTAAATTAACAGATGAGAAAATGAGTCCTAGATGAGTGAAGTGATTTGCCCAGGGTCACACAGGTAGGGAGTCAGTATTTCAGTTCAGGTTCTTAGGATCCAAATCTAGTATAGGTAGCAAGCTTCCCTTAAAGGGAATAATTCAAGTAAGCCTAGCTAAGGTAATTTGCGGATGGATCATAGACGGCCTTAAAGGGTAAATTCAAGAGTTTATATTTTACATTAGATGAAAGAGAAAGCCACTGAGCATTTTTTAGTGGAAGAGGGACATGGTCAAGTCTTTGCCCTAGAAAGGTTATTTTGACAGCTTTACGAAGGGACAGAAAAATTTGGAGAGGAAAGAGAGTGGGAGCAGGGACATCAATAGGAGGCCAAAAGGGTAAGAGGTGATGAGGGCCTGAATTAGGATGGTGGCTGTAAGCTGAGAGAAGAGGATGGATTCAAAGAGGATGGATGTATCTGCACTTTGTTTGAATAGTTTGAATCCCAGTACTGTCACCTGTCTAATTTATTCCGTGTTTCTACCTTCATCTGGTGATGTCCTAACTATTGGATAACCCAAACCAAGAACCAAACTTAAAATTCTCCCTTTTCAGTAGCCACCCTCAAAGACAGAAATGCAGACACCACCTTCTAGTATTTCTTGGCATTGGCAGAGAAGATAGCATACTGTTTACCACCTTGCTTACAGTATGTTCTATGGCAAAGGTGTCATCTTACTTCCTGTAAGGGGACAGACCAGATGACTTCTGGAAGGATTATCTATGCTATTATTTCTATAGTGTCTAAGGTACTGATGGAATACTTATTGTATTTTGTAGTAAGCTAGCCTTTTGATCTAATCATTTACAGTTACCTTGGTTAATGGAATCCACTGGCAATTTGGAAAAGCCAACATTAAATGGTACTTCTGCTCTAAGGTTACATGTTGGTAACTGCAAAATGCCAAGGTCCTGCCAGTCCAACATACTTCATATGTTCAAGTAATGAAAATAGTAATAGCTCACATAGGAACACATATATGAGCTGATCTAAAGAGAAGTAAATAGAACTGGGAAAACAATGTACACACTGACCACAGCAACACAAATGGAAAGAATAGCAACAACAAAGAAAACAATGCTGAATGTTACAAAATAAGAATGCCCAAGCTTGGCCCCTCAAGACATGTAAAATTGTTATCTCCTTTCCTTCTTTGCAAGGAAGAAGGAAGAAGAAACTACAGGTATTGAACTCTACATATAATGTTGAACTGGGTTTATATTTTGGTTATTTTCCTTAATATTTCCCTTAAAAAAATTCTTTGTTACAGAGGACAGTTCCCTGAGGTTATGACATGAGATGTGGGGAAATGCATGAGTTATTGTAAAAATAAGAGAGATCTCAATAACAATGTATAAGATAATAATGATAGCTCATTTATACATTATATTAAGTTTTACAAAGAAGTTTACATATATGATCATTTGCTCTTCATGACAATTCTTCCGAAATAGGCATTATTATTATCCCTATTACAAATGAAAAAACTAAGTCTCAGAGAGGTTAAAAGACTTGCCCAGAAGCACACACTTAAGAAAAGCGTACAGCAGGATTCAAACCCAGGTTTTATTGAGTCCAAATCCAGTGCTCTATCCACTAGGCCATGTCTACTACACCTTGTTATCCTTTCTGCTACAAAATTATTTCATATATTAAAAAACTGAAATTCAGCTATCAGATTTAGAATACCTCTTGTTTGAACAAGCTGAGTTTGTTGGGGCTCAAGTAAAAGGAAAACATGGTAATATTTCACAATAGAAATCAGAAATTAAAAATAATTGAAGTCATTTTTCAGTATTAAAAACAAAATGGAGACTACAACATTCATACGAAGCAGATGAGGAAACATGAATTTTTAATTTGTCCATACTACAAAATATTAAAATTGTCCAGAGAACCCCTAATGGATACTGGTACACTTTAGTTTTCTGAATTACCAGGATATCCCAAATTTGCTTGGGAATACAACTGATTTATAAAAAGTAAACCCTCATGTTAAAAAAAAAAATCTTCCTGTACCAAGGCTATGGACAATTTCAGCTACATGACAAAAATATCTCCCTTTTGGCTTCTTCCTATCCTGTTTCAACTGAAAGGAGAGGGCCCATGCTAAGAAAACTATCCAGTTTTGTCCTCTCCAGCTCTTCTCTGTCCCTGTTCTTTACCTTTCACCCACTGTTTGTCAAAACCCTTTTCCTCCCTTCTAACCAACAAGGCCCTCCCCCAAGCTCTCTCACTTCCTCCCATCAAAACCAGAAAGAACTAGCACAGGCCTAAGTACAATATGATTTCTAAAACTTTGATTAAAAACTCATTCATGTGTAAAGTGTTATCTCAATCAGGCCTTTGCATTGAAATGGAATTTACCAGGCTCTTTTCTCTTAGTTGTGAAATGAAAGTTCTTTTCCCTTGAAAGGCAATGTTGTAAACTAGGAAGATGATTTAGATTTTGAATCCCCAAATCTGAGTTTGAATGCCAGCTCCAATGCTTGCTATTTGTATGACATGGGCAAGTCATTTTCATTCTCTGAATCTTAGCTTCCACTTGCCTTACCTCACTAACTGAGCCTTTACACCATGGTCAACCTTGAAGTGCTGCTTAAATGTGAGCTCTTATTAGCGCAGCTTAATACACACACACACACACACACACACACACACACACACACACTTTTTTTTTCCCCTGGCAGGAGTATGAGGCAATTAGAGCAGCCAGTTCTATTCTTAGCTCTCAGGCTACTTCATTGCTTCTTCTGCTAGAACATCTTTTTGCTCTTGTCCCCCAAAATATGTGACTGCCCAGCATTGTTTCTGTCTTTTCTTTTTAACTCCCCATAAGTACCCTCACACTATAGCAAAACAGGACCACTCCGTTTCTCAAACATATTCTAGACTGGGGGTGGGGAACCTGCAGCCTTGAGGCCACACGTGGTCCTCTAGGTCCTCAAGTGTGGCCCTTTGACTGAATCCAGACTTCACAGAACAAACTGGATTTGTGATTGGATTTGTTTGTGATAGAATTTGTTCTGTGAAGTTTGGATTCAGTCAAAGGGCCACACTTGAGGACCTAGAGGACCACGTGTGGTCTCGAGGCTGCAGGTTCCCCACCCTTGGTCTAGACTTTCCCACCTCCAGGCCTTTATTCTCAATTGTTCCCCCTTAACTCAGATGGCTCTTAACTTAGAATCTGTAAAACTGGCTTTTAAAAATATATTTTTAATAACAATTTCAATATAATTGATTTCCTTTGTAATTGCACGTGTTTTCATTTTATACATTTAAAAACATTATTCTGCAAAGAGTTCCATTCACTTTACCAGACTGCCAAAGGAGACCATGAAACATAAAAAGGTTAAGAAAGAACCCTTCCTTGATTTGGAATCCCCTTCTTCCCTATTTCCATCAAGCCCTAGTTCCATGTGTTCAAATCCTACTCATCTTTCAAAAAAGGGCCCAGCACTTTATCCAGTATTTATCACAGTGCCTGGCATTTAGTAGGTGATTAATAGATATTGATTGATTTATTGCTTGATTGAAGGCCTTCCTAGATAACTCCAGCTTGGAGTAATCACATCTGCATCAGAAAAACTTATTAGTTACACCAGTTAACCAGATTCTGCCTTTTATTATAGTTACTTGTACAAATTACTTGCTACAATAGATCCCTTATAGGCATGAACAGTGTAACTGTAACCCATCCCTACCAAGCCAAAAATTATTGTCCTCCCCCCATCCTTGCTTTGAACTCCTTTTTGGATCTATGCATTACATATGGTGTTCACTTATGACAATGCCTAGTATACAGGAAAGTCTTTACTTTACTATCTGGAACCCTTGAGGAATGAGTTGGTTTGAATGGTCAAGGTTTTGGAGAACCAAAAGCTTACTTTTCTGAATACCAATACATTTTATCCATTTGGAGTGAAAAAAAAAAACGTTTAATGTATTTCTTTCTTTCTTAAACATCAATACATCAAGGACCTGGGATTTCACTGTTCTTTCTGACAAGCCCCACATTCGATAATATCTAGAGCAACATGTTCCTTTGAGCTTAGATAGTGTAGAAGAGAATCCAATGCACTTGGAATTCAGAGACAACTGAGCTCAAATCTGGCCTTGGACACTCACTTATGCGACTACGGTCAAGATCCTGCACCTTTTTGAGCCTTGGTTGTTTCATCACTAAAATGAGGATTATAATATCAGTAGAACCTTACTCACAAAGTTGCTGTTAGGATTCAGTGAAGTTATGCATACCAAAAAGAGTATAATAAACATTAACAACCATTCCTTGGCAACTCAGGATCATTATTGTGAACATCAATTATAGCGTACAAGTGAACAATGATGACCTCAAGGGGACTCTCGGAGCTATGTGTTACTATACAAACTGGCCCTATGCCGCCATGCTTTTTAAAATGCTGTCACTTCCATTGCCAATAGATTTCTGCATACTTCCAATTCATTTGTTTCTTCTAATCTACTTTGGGCATGGGAGAAAAAATAGAGATGAAGTGGGGAGGAGTGTGTGTCTGAAGGAAGTTGCTTTTGTTGCTCAGCCATTTTCAGTCATGTCTGGCAAAGACGCTGGAATGGTTTGCCATTTGCTTCAGTTCATTTTACATATGAGGAAACTGAGGCAAATAACATTAGGTGAGCTGCCCAGGGTCACACAGCTAGTAAGTGTTGGAGGTCAGATTTGAATTCAGGAAGATGAGTCTTCCTGACTCCAGGCCTGGCATCCTATCCACTGGACCACCTAGCTGCCCAAGGGAAGGGCTACAGATGGGGATGTTGCATTCATTTTCAGATGAGGTCACTGTGTTGTTAGTTTTTCTTAACTGTTTTATACTTTGTTATGAGATCTCTCACTTAAAGGTGGTAATATATAAGTGCTTGTAAGGTAAAAACAAAACATACCAATAAAAAAAGAAAAAAAGGAAACCAGAAGACCAAGCTTTATATAACTGTGAATAAAAAAATGGGATCTGCAGGAGAACCTTTACTCAGAGTAAAGTTTTGGCACACAAACTTCTTGGCAGCTATCTGCACTCTGCTCTGAAAGATCCTTTGCTTACTTCTCCTTTCTGTTCTGGAGAGGTGAGATTGGTGAGTTGGGTTCCAGATAGATGACATGTAATATTACATGTGTACATGCTACCTCCCCAGATAAACCTGTAAGCTACTTCAAGGACATAGACCATGTTATACTTTTTTGATTTTTTTTTTTTAAATTCTCAGCTATCCCTGCTACACTGATTGGGGATAGGGCAATGAGGTGACAGAAACTGAGTCTGTGATTTCATTGATAAAGGGAATTTCTGGTAAAGAACTTCCTTCCTCAAAAGGTTCAAGATGGTATTTTTTCTGCAATGTATGGTCTTCTTTTTGATGTTGTCTTAGAGACTAGATTATCCCTACCTCACCCAGAGAAGGTCAGTGGCCAATCATGGGCCTGATCCCAAAAATGATCTATACATATAGTAAGTAATAAGCAAGAAGCTTAACCTGCCCCATTCTTTTGATCTAAGCTGGTTGACCCTTGCTTCAGTAGCTTAGTGACCCTCTGCTCCCAGAGGTTCCACATATTGGTGCCATACGTAGTGTGGACATCTCACGGACTTTATCCCTACTGCAGCTCAGAACTAAAGTGATCAACCACCCTTGGCCTCCCCAAGCAGCAGGGAATTCAACAAACTATGCCTGGCAATTTATCATCTTAAAAGAATTACCCAGGGCACTGAGAGTTTAGGTGACTTATCCAGGCTCACACAACCAATACGTGTCAGAGGCAGATTTGAATCTAGCACTCCCTGGTTTCAAGGTCAGCTCTCTACAGATTATGTTCCATGGCTTCTAATTTGTAGTCACTATGAATAAATGCCCAGAAAAGCCTGGAGAACAGAAATACCCATGCATTTTCATCACAGATGTTTTTCAAAATCTAGAGCCCCTACCATCCTGATGCTGTGCATATAGGCAGGCCCCTTTAACTATCTTCTTAACCTAAAAATAAGTCAGGTCAAACCTTCCAGTCCTGATAACCTTCATCTAATTCTATTCATCCCTTCCTTCTGACCCAGACTCTTAGAATACATATTATGCATTTTTTTGGTATATGTACTATTGTTTTAGTTGGTGTTTAATGATTTACCTTATTCTAACTACTCTTATCTGACATCCTAGAAGGCAACATTGTGCCTTAGATAGAATTTCAACTTCTAGCTACTTAAGTTTCAGCCAAAGACAGTCAGTCACTAGAATAAACCCTTCTCATGATTCAAAATATTACTGTCAAAGCATCTTTTATTTTCCTACATTTCTGCTTCTCTGTAAGCTATGGTCTTTCTTGTTATCATTAGATATCAATAAGCCAAGTTCTAGACTTATAATTGTACAACTAATTTTCAATTTCAGAAACATATAAAATATAGGTGTTAATTTATGTAGGAGTAACAAGATGTCAGCAAACTTGAGAAAGCAAAAAGTCGATTATTCTTTAAAAGTAAAATAAAAACTCTAGATCTGAGCTGTCCATATGGCATATTATTACTTATTAAAATCTGACTTGGCATGGTAAATAGATTGTCTGCTGCACACAATTTTAGTTCATTATTGTTCTCATACCCTTACCTCTAAAAATGATCTCAAACAATATGTCTACTTCAAAAAAAAATACACAGTTTTAAAACGGATTTTGCCCATAAAGTGAAAATATATTCATGACCTTCTACAGATTTTTATGATTCACCATTACGGTGAATGTTGGTGATAAACTAGCCACAAACAACAACAAGAGAGATATAGGCAATAAGTTAAAGGTTTAAAATTTCCACAGTGGTTTCAAAAGAAGCCTATAAACATCATAAGTGTAGTCTGGAAAGAATTAAGAAAACCATCAATGGGGGCAGCTAGGTGGCACAGTGGATAGAGCACTGGCCCTGAAATCAAGAGGACCTGAGTTCAAATCCGGCCTCAGACCAAACACTTGACATGTACTAGCTGTGTGACCTCGGGGGCAAGTCACTTAACCCCGATGGCCTCACTAAAAACAAACCAAAAAAAAGATTAATAAAAAAAGAAAACCATCAATGACAGTTTGGATCTAGCAAAAAATTAATATATTGCAAGAGAGGTTACTTTTTTCCCCTTTTCCCAATGGAAGTTGTGGATAAGAATGTGTTTCCATAAAAAAAAAGTTTAAAAAAAAGTTTTTCTTTATTGCAACAGAATGAAAACAATAGCCAATAGAAATATCTGTGCAACATACCTGTTTCGCTGCTGTGTCCCTGACTGAGAAGTAGAAGGGGGCTGTGTTCGAGGTGCTGGGGAAGGTGCTGATGATAAAGTTCCCGTCCGTACAGAACCAAAAGAAGAAGATACCAAACTGGAAGATGGATTTCGCATATAAGCACGGTTGGATGTGGACACAATTTGTGGAGGTGGACGACTGAAGTCTTGCACAGATGAAGACGTGTGAAACCCTGTGGACTGATTCATCCAAGGAGCATGTCTCCATGAATTTGATCTGGGGGAGTCTAGATTATCTAGAGATTCACCTCTGAAATATAAATAAGAGAAATCTACTAGATCCCAATATATTCAGTTTTAAAGTGACGTGATAAGTTTCAAAAGTCACTACAAGCTATTAAAACTTTATTTTAATTTATGAAATCAATAAATAATAAGTAGTAATAAATAATATAAATAAATAACAAATTTTTACTAATTTTACTGGGTGTTACACATTTGAGTTCTTAGTTCACAGTTCAGTTCAGTCATGTCTGACTCTCCATGACCCAATTTGGAGTTTTCTTGGTAAAGATATTAGAATGCTTTGCCATTTCCTTCTCTAGTTCATTTTACAGATGAGGGAACTGAAGCAAATAGGGTTAAGTGACTTGTCCAAGGTCACACTGCTATTGTCTGAGGCTAGATTTGAACTCAGGAAGATAAGTCTTCCCAACTTCAAGTCTGGCACTCTATCCACAGCCCAACTTAGTCCACACATACAAGTAAAATTTATTTTTATCTTCATGCTAAAAAAGTTAAAAAACATTTAATCAACTATTTTTAATGAACTTTCATTTTGTTCATAATTGATTCCTTTAAAGATTTAAGTACCGGAGTGCCACGTGAAAAGGACTAGATTAATATTGAGGAGCATGGAAGAAAATAATCTATCGTTCTTCAATAAAAATATCCATATACATCATTGAATATCTTTGCCAATATGCTATACTAGGAAAATTCATTATACAAAAATCCCAAACTTACAAAGCAGAAGAATGAGGAGCTTCATATAACAGGACAATTTGCTACAGATTTAATTTAATAATAATTACCCTAATTTAATTTACAAAAGTATGGCTCATATACAACTCTGATGCATACCTCTAAACTGTAGAGAGATTTATCTATATTCATACTCCTCTATAAACAATATTGATTCTAAACACGGATTGTTAGAACAGTCATCAAAAATCTAAAATAAAATAGCTAAGACATTTGAGCAAACTCAAGTGTATCCAATTAAGTCAAATCTTTAATACCTAAAATTAAATTAACATTCTGACATAACTGCCTTCATTAAAGTTTTTTTAATGTATCACACACACACACACACACACATATATATATGTGTGTATATATATATATATATATATATATATATATATATATATATATATATTCATACCATGGAATCTTCATCATAAAAGTGAAGTTTACAAATTAATTACTAACTCATTACTAATAAACAAACAAATGATGAACCAAATGCAATAGAATATAAAGCAAAAGGTCATTTTAGGCCCTGTAGAAAAGCCGAATTCTACAACTGCATGTTCCAAATGTTGTTCCCAGCCACCATGATTATCATTTGGAGGGGAAAGAGAAGAATGTATATAGTGCTCTGAGTTTTGCAAACTACTTTATAAATATTACCTCATTTCCTCCTCACAACAACCCTTGGAAGTAGGTACTATTATTAATCCCACTTTCCATCATTTTTCAGTCATGTGTGATTCTTTATGAACCTCATTTGGTGTTTTTTTTGTTTTTTTGTTTGGTTGGTTTTTTGGGAGGCAGTTGGGGTTAAGTGACTTGCCCAAGGTCACACAGCTAGTGAGTATTATGTGTCTGAGGCTGGACTTGAACTCAGGTCCTCCTGACTCCAGAGCCGGTGCTCCATCCACTGCACCATTTAGCTGCCCCGATTTGGGGTTTTTTGGCAAAGATCCTGGAGCGGTTCGCCATTTCCTTTTCCAGCTCATTTTACAGATGAGGAAACTGAGATGAACAGGGTTAAAGGACTTGCCAGGATCACGCAGCTAAGTAAATGGCTGAGGCCAGATATGAACTCCTGTTTTCCTGACTCAAGGTTCACTGTTCTATCCACAGGGCCACCTAACTTTGCCAATGGAATTGCAAAGATGGAACAAGAAACAAAGGCAAGTGAATGTTGAGCTCCTAACAGCCCAGAGGCCTGGAATCTAAATATTTCCTACTTGAAAAGTAAAAGTAAAGTGTGGAGCATATCAGCACAGCTCTCACCGTCTCATGGTGCCAGGCAGGGAGATAGGCTCCTTGGTGACACTGGCGCTCCGTTGTCTGATCCAGCTGTTGTCATTATGGAGGGAAGTCTTCTTCCTCATTTCCTGAAGGATCTGCTGCCTTTCCATCTCAGCTTCTGATGTGGCCTGCTCTTTTCGAGAACCTTTCTGTGAATAGCCCGCATTCCCAATCCGGTCCGAATATTTGGTGCTCCCTAGATTGAAAAGACATCAAGGATGTCAGAAACAGAAAATAAAATTTCAGTCTGGAGTGAAGATAAAAAGCTATAAGATTCAAAGTGCCAAACGTGAGGTAATTTGCATGTTTTAACATCAGCTGTGGTGTAGAATGATAGAGGAAAGAGACTAAATTTCTTTTATTGCTGTGGTATCTAATTCAAAAGAAGTGGTACTACATGGGACTTGCAAGCAAGGAAATGAATACAACTGCCAAAGAGAGCTAGTAAACCACATCGTTTTGCTTTTGGCCACCTTCAAGTTCTATTGTGCAGAACAGTCTTTTGCCAGGTAACGCTTCCTGTGTTAATCAACAATAACAAAAAGACCAGAGATCATTCACAAATATAGGGCATTTAATAGTTTAAAAACTGCTTTCCTCAAAATAACTTCATGAGCTTGGTAATTCAAGTATTAGTATCTGATTTTAAAGATAAAGAAATTGAGATTCTTCGAAAGTTGAGTGACTTACTAGAGGTCACAAAGCTAATAAGTCAGAACATGAAGTTGGAGGCTTGGACTGAATTCTGTGTTCTTTTCATCGTACTATGCTGCCTCTACAAAAATTACAGTGTCTAGTACTCTCAATGTGCTGTGTTATGCCTTGGACTATAAACATAGTCCCAGTCTTCAAAGAAGTTTTCAATCTGGCTATGAGACAAGGTAAATACTAAGTATATCCAAATCAAGCCTACATCACTTGGTATAAGCTCCTAAGGTGAGTCAAATCCAGCAACAAAGCCTGACCAAGCTACAGGAATTAAAATGTTTACTAATGCCATAGTGGTTTGTTCATTAGTAGGACAGTGATCCAATTATTCACTAATAAATGTTTCACATTCCCTTATTTCAGAGATGAAATTGCTTACATATACTTTGTTATTAGATATATTAATTACAATTAGGCTCATCAGTGTTTCCCATAAGCTGGAATTCATTAGGTTGGATTATTAGTATTTGAAATTAGTGTGATATAAACACTTCAAGCTATATTCTCATTTTTATTAAGCTCAGGAAGTTTCATTAAGAATTTTTCTCCTTTCCATCTCCAGATTCAGTTTTTATCTCTTTATAGTTTGCTTCAATTTAGTTTTTAGTTCATCTTCTTGCAAACAATGTGAAATGCATCCAATAATTGCTCAAAGAATCCTATTTTTATGTTTGTGCAAAGCAATACATATAATATAAATTTAATCAGATTTTTAAAAAATCCATTTGAAAATCAGCTTACTGCTAGTAGAAACTGAATCCATCAAAAAACCTAGAAGCAATGTGGCAAAAGTGAAAAAATCAGGTGACAAATTCAGATGCCTGGGGAAAGTCCATTTGCTTAGAAAAGCTATTAACATTGTAAAATGGGCATAACATTTGTGCTACTTAATTTAATGGGGTTGTTATAAGTAAATCTTTTTTGAATAGTAAAATGTTATAAAAATGAGAGCGCATATGCGTGTGTATATATGAAATAAATATATATACACATATACATATAGATAGAGTTCTATTATTATTGTTATGATTATTGTTACCTCATTCTCTTTTCAATAAGGTTCAAATACAAACAGTTCTGGGAAAAGTTACTATCCTGTTCATTCTTTTATATTTAATGTTCAATAGACTTAGCAAAAGTGGGTAAAATAACTTCTTTTTGAAGCTGAATAAAAAATTTTAGCATGTAACAACCTCTCTAAATTCACTAAAAGCATCTTCCATTACAGATTGAACCACAGTGTATACAGAACATATCACCATGGTAAGCCTCACAGGGGAGAAGAAATGTGAAAGAACAAAGACATTTTAGAAAGAATTTAAGTTAACGAAGCAAAAAACAGAAACCACACTTGTGAACTTTGACTCTCGACTTTAGAAATGGCCTCAATCATGATGTTTGATAACACAAAGTAATTTTATTTTTAAGAATTTTTTTAAACTTACCATTTCTGCTTGTGGGGTGATCCAATTCAGTAATAGACCTCGATTTATTCCTAAAATATAAAACCCAAATAATTAAAGCTGAGAAGCCATTTTAATATAAATATGCGTATTCAATATAAATATACCTTTATGATTAAAAGGAAAGATTTATTCATACTTAAGAAGTTTATAAAACTAAAGATGCAACATTCTAAACCATCAATATTTTTTCCTTTTTCCAAATGACTGTTACTGTTATTTCATAGAACTGAATCTTCTATGTATGAGACTTTAACTAGCAGAGACTAGCTCATAAAATTCTGAATACAGAGAACTTCTACATGATAATGGTGAAAATAAATTCATCTATACACTTCCTCTAGAGTTCTACAATAGTTAACACAATTATTTTAGATATTTTTGCACATCCATTTTCTCCTTAAAATAGGAATGACTGTTTCCATTCATTATTCAAACTCATGAGTTTGATATAAAGAAACTTTCATTGATTCCTACAAAGGATTTATCCCAATATATAATCAATATTCTTGAAGTAAATTACATCAACTCCATAAGGCTAGAAGAGTACCCTTTACTGCTCTGAAGCAGCAATATGGTAAATGGCATCCTAGAGCCCCAAAGAATCAATGTCATTTCTTAAAGAACCTAACTTTCCAAAAGGGTGTAGCTTGTAAATCTAAACCCAAACATGATTTACTCTCCCATTCCAACTATAATGGGCAATATTAAGTAACTTCAGATATTAAGGTGAATGGAGAAAATCTGCTATTTGTCACCTTTAAAGAATGAAAGTTCAATATTTCTGCCATTATGAAAACTTGGAGAGAATTTCACCCCGTAAGTTTGCAACCCCATGTACTTGAATAGACAGGTCAGAAAATTGGGTCTAAATTGTCTTAGACATTAAATAAATGAAAAAGGCTACCTACTATTCATCGTCAAAAGTTACTATTATTTATTCACCTTTAAAATAATAATTTAATTACCAGAAACCTGGCAAAATTCATTAAGATCTCCCTAGCAACATACAGCATTATTGCCTGGAGATAAGACATTGCGTCAAGATTCCTAATGCTACCAAGGTTACTGTCTTGGCATACTGATTAGTTTTCCCCAAGGTACTAAATTACATGGGAGCCAGACTTCCATAAATAAATCAATTCCTCAAGATAGGCAACGCTCCTTTTTACCAACCTATATATAATCCCATAAGATATATAAAGATACATATATATATGCACATACATAAATATATAAACATATATACATATATTTATATAAACAAATATGTATATAAATGAATTGTGTGTCTATGTATGTATGTGTGTATATGTATATAAATGCATGTATAAGTGTATGTATAAATGTTATATATGTGTGTGTATATATAGAAATATATGTGTAAATGTATATATAGTACAGGAGAGGATAATTACAAAGAGGATCACTCATCAATACTTTGTTCAGAGGTCCAAGATCAATGTACCTCTACTCAATTCTCTCTTTTCTTTATGGTCAGCTCCATGTCATATTCAATTATGCAATAGATTATCATATGATTGAAGTTTTTGCTACCAGTTTTCATCACAGGCAAAAAATATTTAAGGCAGAAGCAGATTCAAAACCCACTGAAGATAACAGCTATAAAGAGTTCATTGAAACATCGGTCTAAAGACTATAATAACTGGCTTAATTTGGGGAAAAAAAATTGATAAGTACTATTTTAAGTTAATCAAATGTTTCAGAGAGAAATTTTTAAGAAATAGTTTCCTAAATGTCTAGAATTCTTTCCCCATCTCCAAAAATGACTTGAAGTTTCAAGCCAAACTGTCCTAAATAGATGCCATCATTCCCTTCTCTGCTGTCCATGCAGGACTTCTATTTTTAGGTAATTCTCACACCATACTTCATACTCCGAAAGTTAAGTAGACTGCCAAGCATTCCATTTCTCTCACAAAGGACAAAGGGCTGAGTTAATTCTGCAAGGAGCTGACACTGGGATTCCAAAAAGTCTGGGCTCATCCTTGAGACATCAACTAAAGCCAAATTATTACCCACTTGGCAGTAATGCAGTGTTTTACAAACCTGTCACTAGGAAGTAGATTTGTTGAGTCATCTCCTTGCTTTGATATTTCAAAGTGATCAACAGGCCTAAAAGATGGAAAAGGAATTTTCTTAAATTTAAAATATTAAGGTTAAAAGATTTTTTTTCTACCTTTGCAAGATAATTAATCCTACAAAAGTATAATATTCCCAATAACTACTGAGGGAAAAAAATCAGTTTTTAGTATAAAGAATAAAGTGTTTCAACCATAAAGACACCAAAGGTATTTTAAAAAGCTAAATTCCAAATCTTTCAGTAGCACCTTCATGATTCCAGGTTAGATAAAATCTAAACTGAGGTATGAGCAAGAACTTTAAAGCAACTTTTATGTTTGTTCTTAAGATTTCCCTTGCAAAATTCTGTGAGTAAAAATTCAAATAGGATTCTTTCTCATATAAAACAGATTTAAGATGGAGATGCACTACTTCGTAGTCTAACCAACACAATCCACAAGTCAGAGTTGAAATCCTGACCTTGTCTTCGTTCTTCATGCACCACATTCCCTCTCCTGTCTGGGGCTTTAGCAATGACTCTTGCACATGCCTGAAATGCACTGCCTCATTACCTCAGTCTCAGAGACTCTCTCTTTTCTTTTAATACAAAGGTTAGATGCCATCTTTGGCATAAAGTTCTTCCTGATCGCCCCAACTGCTAAGGTCTCCAAATTGCCTTATGTTTGACAAACGCATGTATTTTTTCAATTTATATTTCTGTTGTATATATTTTTATATGCGGTTGTTTTCTTCTCCATTAGGATAGAAGACCCTTGCAAATAGATATTGTTTTATTTATTATTTTCATATCTCTAGTACCTAGCACAGTATCTGGCACAAAATAGGTGCTTGATACTTGATAACTAAATTGATACCACATTGCTTGCCTTCTAATGAGTGGGGAAGGAGCTGGAGGGAAAGAATTTAGAACAACTCTTTTTTTATTGAATGTTAAAAATGAATAAAAATAAATTTAAAAACAAAAACAGAAAGGTTGATGACAAGACATTTGGCTTTGGAAATGTTAAATTTAAGGTGGAAATGGGCCATTCAAATGGAGATATTTTCTTATATATAAATATAAATACATATATACATATATGTATATATATATGTATGTGTATATACATATATATATATTGAGAGAGAGAAAGAGAGAGAGAGAGAGAGAGAGAGAGAGAGAGAGAGAGAGAGAGAGAGAGAGAGAGAGAGAGAGAGAGAGAGAGAGAGAGAGAGATGAGGCCTGGAGCTCAGAAAAGAAGTTCAGACAAGAGATTCCTATTTTTGAATAAGTCCTATCATAGAGGTAATGGTTGAAGGTGTGAGTGAATTTACTGTGGGGAAAAAACACAGACAGAGAAGAGATGTGAGGACAAAACTTTGTCCAAGAGCATGAATAAATGAGATGGTGTCCTCTTTCTTGGTAGAATCCTGGGGCAGCTGTGTGCTTGAGTCAAAACAAGTCATTTTCAAATTATATGTTACAGACTATAAACAGGCCTATAATTGTGACCATAAGCTAACAATAGATATGTCTGATTCAGACAAGTAAAAAAAAATACAAGTGCACTTTGACTATGGCACCAACCTTTTATACTGATATATCTGCACTGAAGTTTCTTTCTCTGTCTGCCGCTTCTGCTCCTCTATCTCTGCCCACCGCCTCTGCTCCTCTATCTCTGCTCGCCGCCTCTTCTCCTCTATCTCTGCCTGCTGCTTCTGCTCTACTTCTTCCTCCAGTTCCTTTAACTTCTTCTCTTTCTCAAGGAGAAGCTGTTCTTCTAATTTCCTTTTCTGTTCTTCATGACGGAGTCTTTCTTCCTCTTCTGCTCTGTTTTTTTCTCCGTCTGAAGGATAAATCTCTTCTCTCCAATTTGTCTCCCAGTTAGCAAGAGCAGGCTCACGCCAGGTGAGAGAAACACTATTTGAGTTTAATACCATCTGTTCCTACATAAAAGGGGGAAAATAAGAACAGAAAGAGAGACATGCATATGTGTATCAATAGACACAGAACACGTACATTTGTTAGCATTTATTTTAGATGGTGTTCATTCTATCCCTGAGCTGGTAACTACTTTTAAAAAAACATCAAAAAACACTGACATATGAAAACACATGGATACTTCAGCTCTAATAAAAAAGAGAAAATGGATACTTTTAGATTCCTTTAAAGCAACTTTTTAAAAGATGCAGACCTTTCTGCTATTTTATTACTATACTTACAAAGGAGTTAGAAGGAAAGCTTAACTACCCAGCAGAATACTGGCTACATATCAAAGTCTGTCTTTGAAAGGAACTACATGGGCAAAGATTTTTGATAGACTGGCCAAATAGAGGATTTCTTTTCCTAAATGCAATTTCATCAGTAAAATGAAGGGACAGAAAAGGGGAAGGCGTATGCCAACACTACCTCATCTAAATACTTTGAGTTCTCTTTCTCGGCCTCTTGTTGAGCCCTCTGCCACTTTTCCCTCAGTTTTTCCTGTTCACGTTGATACTTTTCCTATTAAGAAAGGCAGAATGTTAACCGTCAAAGAAAGATGTTTTTACTCTTAAATTAGTGGCTTTTCAAGTTAACATGGTTGTTACCAACTCTAAACTTTTACGTGTAATGTTTCATTTGGTACAAGGTTGTTCCTTTTTAAATTTAACGTATCACAAATTAAACCTTGCTATATATCAAATTTCCTGGGTTCCATTAAAATAGACAATGAAGTACTACTGAGATTTTTTTTTCATTACCTTTCATTATTACTCTGCTTCAAATTCATTAAAAATTATCTCCTTAAAAATAACAAGAGAACTTTATCAGACAGGATATAATAAAGAAAATTAGTATTTCATGGACAACAGAAGAGCAAGCAAAATTTAAGTATGGATTTGTTTTGTTTTTTAAAGGTATATGACCTTAATCAAAAAAGATTTATGGAGAACATCAACCAAAATATCTGGACTGCCTAAAAGCTTCTCAACATAACAAAGGTATCTCTCTTTGAGATCAATATCTGAGGTCAATATTCATTCAATGCTTATATCTATGCAGATGTATTTCCATATCTCTCTATTTAGTCCTGGCATTTCTCCTGAGCTCCATCTTCATATCACCAATGGCCTTTTGGACATCTTGTACAGGATGATCCAGAGGCATTTCAAATTCAATATGACTAGAACAGAACTCATTTTCTTTTCCCCAAAATTCTGTCCTTTTCTGAATTTCACTATTACTTCGGGGGCACCAACATTATCCCAGTCACCCAGGTTCACAACCTTATTGTCATCCTCAGATCCTTACTTTCACTCATCTCATATAACCAGTCAGCTACCAAATCTTGTCATTTCTACCTCCACAGCTCTTTTCATATCTATCTCCTTCTCTCCATTCACAGTCACCACCATAATTCAGGCCTTCATCACCTTCCTCCTGAATATGACCTCTGTCATCTTCCCTGCTCAATAAATTCTAATGGCACTCTGCTACTCATAGAATCAACTATAAAGCCTTTTATTTCACATTTAAAGCTCTTCACAACCTGGTCTCTTCCTACATTTTCATTCTTAAACTTTACTTCTCCCCATCTCCTATATTGTAGTGTACTATACTATACTACACTTCCTTTACTAACCATTTCTGACATACCACACTTCATTGGTGGTCTTCTATTTCTTCATACAAGACTCAGCCCTAATGCCACTTTCCTGGTCTCTTCCCCACCCCTCAGCTGTTACAGCTTTCCCTTCTCTAAAGATTCATTTAATCTACTTTATTTATTTTAAATGTACCTATTTATTCACATTTTGTCTCCTCCACTAGAATGAAAACTCCTTGAGGGAAGGAACTGCTTTTCCTTTTTGTTTTTCAATCCCTGGCACTTAGCACAGAGTTAGCACTTAATGAATAAGTAATAAGTAATTGATTCATTCCTTCACTTACAACCAAACTCAACAGAAATTTTTTTTTCAATTATGTCACTACCTTATGGATTTAATAAGATTTTCTTTTATTTTCATTAATAACTTTTATTTTTGAATCATTTTCCAAATGTAACCCTCTCACTTTGTCTAACCTGAAAGCATTGTAGCGAAGAATAAAACTTGTAACAAAGAATAAAAAAGAAAGAGAAAATGGGGGGCTGGAGGTGCAAGGGAACAGTTGTGTAAAACTATCTAATATATCCACAGAGTTTGCCAGTATATGCATGGCAACCCACCTCTCCAATGAAGAGAATGAGTTTTATTATTTCTTCTCCAAAGTTAAGCTTTGTCACCCTTTTTTTTTTAAATAATCCTTTTCTAGCAATGCCTTTGAATAAATTATGGGACTGATAAGGCAAAGACAAGTAATAGACAATATTTAGGCTCTAATCATTTGCATAATTCATCTTTACCTGCAACAAACGATCCTGTTCTTTCTGCCATTTTTCCTGTCGTTTCCTTTCTTCCTCTTGATCCCAAGCCCAGCGACTTGGAGCATTGATGGTTGGAACTGGAAGCTAACATTTCACAAGTGAATCAGTAAGAAAAGGAAGGAAAATACATAACTTATTAAATTAATTTAGATAGGTGAAATACTAAACTGCATCCACGAAGATGCAGGATTATTATTTATAGGCCTACCACACTTTTTTTTGATCTACACTAAATGTTGTGTAAAGTTTTTAATTTGTGGTTTTTAAAACCACTTACATTTTCAATTCAGAAAGATAGTTTCCTATACTACTGGCAACTTATGACAAAAAATAACAGATACAGCTGCACCAAATTCATCTTATCTACTCCAATGAAACAAATAAATACTACTTACATCAGGCACCACAGAATCAGAACTTCCTGTGTTATAATAGGAAATACATTAAGTTAGAAATTTACTAATAAGACATTTTCCCTCCCCCAAAATGATATTATTGTGTATCTTAAACACCAATATTCTGGGTTTTTTAGTGACATTAATTTTTTTAAACCTATTCATTCCTGAGTTTGATCAGTAACTAGTCATATTCCAAGATGTCAGTGAAAAAAGATAAAAGCAGTCCTGTTTAGTTTGCCTTGTTGGTATATTCCTGAACTTACAGGGAAGGTTTGCAGTATTCTCCCTTTCATAGACATAGCTTCCCTTACTACTGGAAGCTATTTTTCCTACACCTAAAAAATTCAAGGTTCAACTAGAACCAGTCAACATAAAACATTCAGATATACAGCATATCGCAATAACAGCAATGTTTTAAGTGTTTGCACTGATTTAAATTTCATTTTATAACCAAGACATAACCACTAAAATATACTCACTATAAAGTGAATGTCTCATTTGCAGTTCCCCTTACAGTGAAATATAAGGTTATAATCTTTATTTTGTTCTTTGTGTTCTCCTGGTATATATAAGAATGTTTTATATATATATATATACACACACACATATATATATGTATATATATATACACACATATACATACATACATACATATATACACACACACATATACATATATATATGTGTGTGTATATATGTATGTGTGTGTGTGTGTGTGTGTGTATACATAAAATGAGAGAAAACATACCACAGACTGTATATTTTATGTTTTCTAAAACATCAGGCATTACTAAAGGAGTTAATGGGAATTACAATGTGCTACATTAAAACAAAACTTTCAAAATCTTAAAAAAAAAATCATCTCCTCTGAAAAATGTCTGTTAGAGAAAAGTATGCCAAAACTAGAATGAGGGAAAGAGTTAGTTGTTTTATCCTGACCTGTTGGGGTAAGGAGTGTAATATTTCAAGTTACTTGGCTTTAGAAAATTGTTTTTTAGCAAAAGAATCAAACACACTAAGATGAGAGCACAAATATAATTTACACATAGAGACTCAATGATAAAAGTTGCTTGATTTACAGGTCAACAAGGAAGCTTAGAATGCACTGGAGAAGAAATGAATGATCAATTCCATACTTAATATGTTCAAACCAAGGAAAATTACAAGTTGTCATCAAGCTAGTTTGTCAGTGTTTCAATGTTCTTAAAAGTAAGAAGCAGTAACATTAGAAATCAGCAGCACATCCCAGCTGGAATGTGCCACCACCTTTCAGATGTCGGCTCTTATTTTTAAGTTCTCATCGACAACACAAAGTTGAGACATGACAGTTATCAGGTTAAAGTATTATACAAATATGAAAATGTGAAAAAATACAGCATGCAGAGAGCACAACAAAAGGCAGAAGCTCTGTAGGACTACACCAACATAGAGTTATCTTTCAAAAATTCAGACTCCCATGCTTCCTGCTTCCATAATTGAACCACTTTGTCACTTTCAAATTAAAAGGGCAGTACACAAGCACCAATCCCTTCTAGGACTCTCCTTTGAGGAAAAAAAAGTCTCCTCCAAACAAACCTGATCTTTACTGTTAAAGAACTTATCTCCAAAATAAAAACATATCTATATCAAAAACCCTTTAAAACTCACAATCAAGCATATGTTGGTGTAATCTAATAGTATGAATTATACAGGGAGCAGTCAGGCTTGAACAAAGTTCCTCATTTCTTACTGTTACCCAGTGGAAAGAAGTGTTGTGTTTTTGTTTTTTATTTCAACAGCATTTTAGTTTAAGAGGGAAAAAAAGTTTTACAGGTATAAAAAGGACACACAAAGACCCATTACCACAAAGGTAGACCCATGAACTGTAAGAAAAACCTGATGACCCTGGGGAAAGAATGGAAATGGATTATGTTGCTTGGTCATAACAACAACAAATAATGTTGAAGAAGCTTAGTACCCAGCACCACAGACCAGTTAGGAAGAAAATATAGTGGGAACAATTTCATGAAGGTACATGAAATGTTAGTTGTGTAGTTTACCTTGTTCAAAAAATTGTGATCGCCTTTTTAAGTTTTTCAAAGAAATAGGTTCAGATGCTGGTTGAAAAAATGAAAGACAAAATAAATCAATACCATGTCTTACTCATTTTAATCTATAACCCATGGAAAACAAATGACATTTCATAAAATCTAACATCTGGAAGCGACCACTGAGGTCATCTCATACACAGCAACTACTTAAGACATGCTTGTGGAATGATTGATCTTGTCCAATCCCCTAGGGACACATGATTTGTCTCTACCACATCACAGACAAGTAGCCTGTGTTTTAATGCCTTCAGTGATGAGAAGCTTCCTGCCTCATGAGGTAGTCACACCTTTCTTTTAATACTACTAAAAAAAAAAACTGAAGGCAATGGAGGATATGGAATACTTTAATGCACATACACAGATGTTTTTAGTAGGTTACTTAGCATTCAAATTAGTAAAAGTAGTAAACTGATTCAGTAACACATTTTACCAGAGGGATATAACATAGCTTCAGCTATGGCAGTCAAAGTGCATAATGCCCAACTTAAAAGGCTCTCATTTTCCATCCATACTGAGTGTATTCTTTAGGGAAATCTCATTTAAAAAAAAAAAACACTGTGCATTGATGTATACTCATCTCGCTATACAAGAGCCACTCAATAACAGAGTCATCTTCATCTACTTCATCTACTATAGCAAACCACTACCTAAGAAGGGAGAGGAAAACAACCATATGGAAATATTAGAAATGAGAGTTGACCTCTAAACTGTGGGAGGGGGGAGGTTGGAATATGAAAATAAATGAAAAAAATTCAATTAAATTATCCTGAAAACATATCAGTGTTTCTAGAAAGTCTAGATCCCATTTCAAGATCTTATAGATATAATGAAAAAGACTAATCAAATTACAGAACAAGTAGAGTAAATCGTATTCTATTAGCTCATTGATTTTTCACATGGTGTTAGACTAAAAACTATTCCACCCAGATCAGTCCAAAAGAATGCAGATAATATTGTCACTTGACACTAATTTACTAGCCAAAGGTTTTAGTCCTTTTTTTCTATATGTGAATTTTAAAGATGTACACAATGCCCTAAGGATTTATTAAACTGTAAAATCCAGCAATATCAGGCCTAAACCTAACAGAATCATGAACACAAGGTAGGTGATTTTTATAAAAATCTCCTCAAATAAAGTATGCAATATAAAAACTCAAAATTATAGTAATATCTATTCAAGGCAATTTTTTTTAAAAGGCTACGTAAGAGAGAAGGGAGAGATGTGATTAATTTGTGAATTTATACAAAATTTTCAGGCATGGGCATTTCACGTTCAAAGGTACCAAACTTAAGCATGCATCAAGGCAGACTGGTACCAATACAGTTCCAAGGTCATTAGCATGTAATACATCTGCCCAAAAAATAATAGCTAGCATTTTTATGGCACCAGAAGGCATGCAAAACAAATTTTTGTGTCTTTTCTCTGAGACTATCCCCAATTTATTCTGTATTCATCTTGTTTGTACATAGTTATTTGTATGATGTCTCCCTCCCTATTTGGACTATGAGCTCCTTGATAGCAAGGACTATTTTGTTTGTTCTTTGGTTTTTTTGGGGGGAGGGGTTGTTTTTGTTTTCTATGTATTATGTATATATGTATGTGTTTGTTTGTTTTTTATTTGTGTTTGATAGTTTATGCTTTTCTATCTCCTAAAACAGTACCCAGTAGATAGTAGGCACTTAATAAATGCTAGTTGATTAACTTTCTTGACATACGTTATTTTATGTCCAAAACAACCCTGGAAAACAGCTACTATTATTATTTCCAATTTACAGATGAGAAAAAATAAGTGACTTAACAAGGGCCACACAACTAGTAAGTATCTGAGGTAGGACATGAACTCAAGTCTTTCTGACTCCAAGTCCAGCATCCTATCTACTATGTAACCCAGCTGCCCCAAAACATAGGTCTTCTCATCTGTTTCATCACATGAAGTTGCTTCCACTAGTAGTAATTGCCAAACAGAGCTTCTAATAGCACTAAATAGACTCTGACTCAGAAACAGTGGCCAAAGCTTGCAAAAATTAACTTCTTCCCTTTTTTATTTTACTATAAAATGTTGTTCAGTCATGTCGAACTCTTTGTGACCCTGTTTGGAGTTTTCTTGGCAAAGATACTGGAATGGTTAGCCACTTTCCTTCTCCAGCTCATTTTACAGATTAGGAAACTGAGGCAAACAGGGTGAAGTGACTTGCCCAAGGTCACACAGCTAATAAGTACCTGAGGCCAGATTTGAACTCACAAAGATGAATCTTCCTGACTACAGGCCCAGCACTCAATCCACTGTGCCACCCAGCGGCTCCTCTACTAAAAAATATCTATCTTTAAAAAAAAAAAGAGAGAGAGAGATTCATGACCCCTTTCAAAATCTGGACTGAATATTTATTTTAGCTCACCTAGAGAAGGGACTAACCTCCTCAATATTCCTTTTCCCTTCTACTCAGAAAAGGCCACAATCAGCATATGGAGATCCAGACCTGGCTGCCAATGTGCCAAGCACCAAGCTATTCAGCACTTAGTATAATTGAGCTCCAGTCCATCTGGTTGCAACTGGATCTGGATGCTACTGTTCTTTTAATTTCAACTTGCAACAGGTCAGTTTTTATTTCATTCAAAGTTATTAACTTTTACAACAGTAGTATCTGAGTCATACACCTGTTCTCTTCAGAGACGTGTGATACCATGAGCATTTACCTTTGGGCTCAATAGAGCTGCTTTCACCACTTATGCCATTTATTCCTTTTGTTTCAATATTCTGTAAAGGGGAGAGAAGGCAGTTCACGTTATTTTCTCCAAATAGGTTTCAATAATGCATAAATCAAGTTAACATTGTTATTCCTATTAAGTGAAACCATTTTCCAAAGAGGTAATCTTGGCGGGCTATTGATGCAGGTTATTAAACGCAGTTGAATCTTGAATAAGTTTCAGTATTCTATAACATTAGCTTAAGGATTAATGATTAGCTACAACAGTTGATGGTTTTAAAGTAAACCAGTCATAATTCTCCAGGAAATATGAATATAATTACTATTCTGGTTCACTGGTTTGTATTAGTAACAAAGGTAAAAAATATGTTTTATTTTCTCACAACACAGAAGGATAGCTCAACATTTCTGAGGAGGAATGTCCCAGAAAAATTATAATCATGTTCTCAAAACAAGGTTAAATGCATATTTAACAGAAATATTTCCATTTAAATGAAGCATCTACATTCTACATAGAGAGAATATTCTTTTACTTTTGAAAACTCTACAATAATAACTGCTTCAAGAATTAAAAAAAATCTCTCATAAAATGATCTTTTTGAAAACTTAAAATTTAAATTCTCACTTTCATTTCACATATAAAAAATATCAAATGTTGCTATATATGTAAACATACTCTGCATAAAATTAGTAATCATTTTATAGAACTTTAAACTGCAGATATTCTTTGACATTTTCTTTCAATCTAGCTGCAATCAAAAAGCATACAATAGAAAACATATTCTACAGCTCTTCTTAACACAACTCTCATATATGTGCATATAGGAAAGTTGAAAGGTTGGTGAAAAACACATAGCAACTCAGTTCTGGAATCTTCTGGCTTTTTATGTGATGCAAATACTGTATGCAAATGCATAATACTGTAAGCATCCCTAAAATGTATGTTCAAACTCACCACTGCATAGCATTCCTAAAACTTAGAACAAATAAAAGGTATTATAATTTGGCTAAACACAAAAACAATACCTTTTAGTCCCAATTTCTAATCCCTCTTAATTCCTATTGGAGTTTCCCTTGATGTAACCACTTCCCACTTCTCAAAAATCAAACTTACAGAATTTTGAAGGCTTTCGGAGAAATCGCTCTTTATTGAAAGGTTTGAAGCCTTGTCTGAACTGTGAACTCCAGAAGTTGCATCAATCCACTTAGTTTCAGGTGAACCTATAATTTTGGTAGCCATACTGGTGAGATTGAGGGTTTTATGCCGTATAAATGGCAGGGAAGGTTGGTCTTTGCCCCAGTCTGATTGGCACATCGAGATCAAGGAATGAGTATAGGTAGATGTCAAAGTGGAAAGAACAACATTACTGACAATACATTCAAAGAGGAAAAAAATACAAACACAAAACTGAAAGACAAATCAGGAAGGAAGCAGAGAAATGTGTTAGGGCTTTCATAAGCAGACCACCTTCCCCAAAAGAGAGGGTTAAATGTAAAAAAAAAAAAAACCAAATCCCAAAACATACACACAAATTTACTGAAACATAACATATGCCAAGGTTTAGTATTAAATGATGAAATTATCATCAGAAAATTGGTCATAGTTGGACTGAGAGCTAGGTAATTCATCCTCCTCAAAAAAGAGAAAATCAAATGAGATCATGTAAATGAAATATCCTATAAACTTAAAGAGCCTATACAAAATGTTAGTTACTAATACTAATACTACTATGACAACTGCTGCTGCTGCTACTGCTACTACTACTACTACTGTCTGCATTGGTACTCAAGTAACATTAAAAGACTAAAGGAAGGGTTCTAGAACATTAGAGGTTCCCTATGAAGAATATATGGGAAGATATGGATAAAGAGTCATATATAATAGGTGGGTGAGTTGCACTATGCAATATTGGGGGAAGTGACTGCATTGACAAGATCATGCATCCACTAAATTATTAGAGCTGTGAATGATAACAAAACACATATTTTCTTAAGAATCAACACAGGGAACATAATCTACCCTGTTTTCCTTTACAGACAAAAAGACTAGAATATGTAAAATAGTAACAAATGCAATATTCAACACCTGATAAGTAATTATTGAAGAATTTCACACAGTCCTTCGATACATGAATTCATGGTAAAATGTAAATTAGGTCTTAGACATGGTAAGTTTCAGTATATTTGCTAGTGAAGAGGTTTACAGACAACACACTAAAGACAACATTCAAATTATTTTACATTATCATAAAACACCTTTTATAAAAATGTTACTACAATAAATCAAGACTCTCAACCAAACACCAAATACAAGCACATATGTACACATACAACACATGCAACAAATAACTCCTCACCATTTTTTCCATAACGCCTGACATCTACAACTAGATTTCCAGTTTCTCCTGCATTAGCCATGATCTCTGCCCACTTATCTGTGTCCTTATTTGAAAACTTGGTGTTATTAACAGCAATAATTTCATCATCTACCTGTAGCTGAGATAATGCTGCTGGGCTACCTAAAAAAATTCAAAGTAAATTTAACATCAGTTTGAATGAGCAACATTTTTTGGTCAGTCAGCATATTCATTTCAGAAAAAAACAGGGAGGGGGGATGACTATTATGCTAGCAATCATTGCTCAGGTAAAATATATGCAAAATGCAAACACAAAAAGATTGACAAAATAGAACTGTATAAAAAGTCTTGCAATAAATCAAAATAATAAAATAAAATGAAAATTTTGGTATGAACTATGATATGATATGATAGGGTATTCCATTTTTGAGTAGATATTTTGATTTGAAACAATTTAAAACTGTAATGACAAGAAAACCTTATCTGGTCCATGAAAAAAAAATTCCTTTCATTAAAACACTATAGTACATAATAATTTTTAAAAATCATTCCCGATGGAAAAATTATGAAATATGCCAGACTGAGTTTCAAATTCTAATGCCAAAATCATACCAGAACTAAACAAGATTAAATGTATCCACTTAAGAGTAATGTTCTCCAATAATTAAAATTATTGCCTCTATTAGTTACTTTTGAAAATTAAAGGACTATATCAATATATTTTTACCAATGTCCACTGGAACAATGTCCCCCTCCTACCCCAGTCCTCCCAAAAAATACATATAGTTAATTTTATTCAAACCTAATGAAAGTTAGTTCTGAGTTCAGGCAATATTTTACAAATGTCCTTCCTTAACTCCAGTTAAACAAATCCAGAAGCACCACTGAGCAAAGGGGAAGGGTGGGGGTGGGGGGTGCAGGAGAGGAAGGTATTCTTCTTTGCAGAACTCTCAAGGATTTGTAGGAACATAGTAGTTACACCTGCACTTATTCCAAGTACCTATGAATTATATAATTTAAAATGTAAAATATATGTAGGTAGGAAAACACGGAGTTGAGTTAGCAAAAATACTTCACGAGCCTTCAATTGTTCTTTCATCAGTATTTGAGAATATAAAATTTCCAAAGCAGGAGGTAAACATAAAATTTTACAAATGATAAAAATTTAAGAGAATCTAGAAGAAAAAACCTTTGAACAGGACAAGGGGAAGATAGAAAGGTGAGAGAATTGAATTCTGAAAACCAAGATATTTTGATACCAAGAGAATATTGTCTTTTCCTTTCACTGTTGCACTTTTTTCATGTACATTCTCTCTTGCTCTCTGAAATTCATTCATTTCAGTAGCTTCATTTACACCCATTGTAAATACTACCAGAGAAGAAAGTTCACATTAATGCTAAACTAGGAATTTACCTGCTTGAACTGATTGCACGAAGATTCCAGAAAAATCCCATCTTACTGTAAACCCAAAGTCAGCATCGTTGTTCCCAGGGCTGTGGATCATAATGATTCTCATATCACTGAACTGATCCTGAAAATGAAACATGACACAATCAGATCAAGTGTCATCTGGCATCTACACGAGGAAAGTCCATCCACTAAGTAAATAAGAAGGCTTGCAGAATACACTTTAATTATCTTAGGAGAAAATAAATAGGAAAGGAATTTTCTGTTTCTTCTACAAACTAGGTAAAACCTTCTTGTTTGTTCATTTATTATAGTTATATAATTCAGATAGCAGTGCATTTCTTTTTTATAACCAAAAATAATACAAGATGGTTTCCTCCCAATACCTATAATATCTTTACTGACAAAGCAAAGACTGAAAATATTGCTTTTTGCCTAAATCCAAAATACTCTCTAAAGTCTTCAGTTTGGCAATTGAGATCTAGACCAAGAATAGCATTTTCTAAGTGACAATACCCTCTGCCTAAATTTCCCCATTCATAAACCTAGGGAACCCTACATAAAATGTATATATTCAGATACACTGGAATAGCAGTTATGAAATAGTATAAATTTTTGGAAGGGAGCTATGCAAATTAATGACATACTCCTCTAAACATGGTACATGCATTTGGAGAGGATTTATATATTTGTTCCCAACTGTATCCTCCGTACTTCAAAGATAAATAATAGTATTTCTCTCATCCACCTAATAAAAATGGGTCATGAGCAACTTCAAAAAGTTTTACTCTAAAGGGATCTTTGTTAAATATAGTTCGAGTAAAGGAAACGAAGATATTTAAAGCCATCCATCAATCAGAGAGCCAACTGTACATGTCCAGCTCCACAGGAAGGAGTTCAGTCTAACAAAGGTCTATATGCCCTTTAACCTCATCACATGCATTAGAGGTCCCACCATATCAAAGAATACCTTGATCACTATTACCGTAGTAGGATTTGTACTTGAGAAAGCATACTAGAATTTGAGTTAAAATCTTTATGTTGCCACTCATTAGCTATGTGACCTTAGACAATCATTTAAGATCTATGCTCAGTTTCCATATCTGTAAAATTAATATAATAACACTTGTTATACTAGCTACCAACAGGTTTGCTGTGAGTTAGTCACTTTGTAAAAGTGCTACATACATATGAATCATTATTAAAAATAATAACAATCCACCTATCAGATTGGCTAACATGACAAAACAGGAAAATGATAAATGTTGGCGAAGATGTGGGAAATTTGAAACACTAATGCATTGTTGGTAGAGTTGTGAACTGATCCAATTTGGAACTATGCCCAAAGGGCTATAAAATGTGCATACCCTTTGACTCAGCAATACCACTTCTAGAGCTGTACTCCAGAGATCAAAAAATGGGAAAAGGACCCACACGTATAAAAATACTTATAGCAGATCTTTCTGTGGTGGCAAAGAATTGGAAATTGAGGGGATGCCCACCAATTGGGGAATGGCTGAACAAGTTGTGGTATATGAATGTAATGGAATACTATTGTGCTATAAGAAATGATGAGCAAGTGGACTTCAGAAAAACCTGGAAAAACTTGTATGGACTGATGCTGAGTGAAGTGAGCAGAACCAGGAGAACATTGTACCTAGTAATAGCCACATTGTGTGATGATTAACTTTGATAGACTTAGCTCCTCTCAGCAATGCAAGGATCTAAGACATCTCCAAAAGTCTCATAATGGAAAATGCCAACCATATCCAGAGAAAGGACTATGGAGTTTGAATGAAAATTGAACCATACTATTTGCTCTTTTTTTCCTTCTGTTTTATTTTGTTTCTTCTTTCTTGTGGTTCCTCCTATTGGTTCTAATTCTTCTTCATAACATGACTAATGTGAAAATATGTTTAATATGTATATGTAGAGCCCATATCAGATTGTATGCTGTCTTGGGGAGGGAGGCAGAAAGGGAGGGGGAGAAAATTTAAAACTCAAAAGCTTATAGAAGTGATTGTTGAAAACTAAAAATAAATTAATTAATCAAAAAAATCATATTCATAAGATTGAAGACTAATAACATCCTGCTAAGAAGAGAGATTATTCATCCGTACTATTCCTTAACCCCAAACCACAGGACACTGAAAATAGTGATGAGTCAAAGAAAATGAGCAGTCAGTAAATGTTGATTTCTTTCTATCTTTACCATTCTTACCAATTGAAATAAAAATTAAAAAGCCACCAAAACTACAAAATTCAATGCTATGTAAGCCAAGGAATTAAATGCTAGGTTTGATTTTCGAAGTTCTAATTGAGGTTATTTAGACGGAAAGAAGATGATTTGGGAGTAGATGGGGAGGTGGGATTTAATAACAAGTTTTAAAATACATGACAGGATACTTTGTAGATGGTGGTTAGAGGCCAATATCCATTTACACTGAAGATGAAAAGAAATAACTTAACCCACATGAAGGGGAATTTGGGAAAGACATGAGGAACTTTCTGACCAGATGGATATGTACTGATGGACTGCCATTTGCTGAGAAGGCTGAAAAATATCTACTGGAAGATTTTAACAAAAAAGAATGATGGACCTCTAACAGAGACAGCGAAGAAGATAGCAGTATTGATAGGTCGGTGGTATAGTGGATTACGCTCTGAGCCTAGAGTCAGGAAGACATGGGTTCAAATCTCACTTCAGATACTTATTAGCTGCTTGACACTGGGTAAGTCATGTAGGTGCTCTTAGATTCAGTTTCCCCATCTGTAAAGTGGGGATAATAATAATACCTACCTCATAGAGTTGTTATTATAATCAAATAGGATAATATTTGTAAAATGCTTTAGTAAACTTTAAAGTGGTATACAGATATGCTATTATTATTATATCATCAATGGGTTTTTTTAAATAATGAAGATTAATGAAACGTTAACAGAAATAAAAATGGATTGGTGGAGGTGGGTCAAGAGATGTGGGATCTAGTTTGAGCTCTGACCCTTACTAGCTTATATGACTTTGGTCAAGTTATTGTACCCTCTCTGGACTTCAGTTTCCTATCTATAAAATGAGAAAAATTGATTGGATGGTCTCTAAGATTCTTTTTAGCTCTAAAATTCTATGATTCTAATCAGGTACAAACTGCTCATTACAAAAATCAGGAAAGGTTATTTCTCTCCCTTCTCCTAAAAAATACAACACTAGGTATTTCCTTAAAAGCTTCATAGAAAGAAAAATCACTATTTCATTATTTTTTGTCCTTAATTGATTGGATGGGAAAAGCTAAAGTTCTTAGTTGCTAGTTTAAGTGGAAGGACGGTGAAGAATAAAGGAAGAAGGGCAGAATTCCAAAGGAGTACTTTATTTTAATTAACTTTTTTTTGCAGTAGGATATATAACAGAGAAGATGTTTATCACGATCTATAAATCAACATTGTAAAACTCATAGTATTTTTCCAAATTAGGATTCACTTTAGCCAAGTATCCACCCTACACGCTCAGCAGCAAGGGCAGTGCCAATTGTGCAGTAAATATGGGTCAAAAGCAATAGTTTTAAACTTAAAATGATCCTTCCAAAAAAAAATGTTGGTTTGGCTTATGTCTGAAAATATGACACAAGGAAAGTTTTGAAATAGTGGCCATAAACTCAGTTCTTGGCTCTGATTAAACATTTAGCTGGTGAATATTTTTACTTGGCCACACAAGGTGATGATATGAGAGTAAGGTCAGTCTTATGCTTTGGTATACTACCTATTACTTAGAAAGCTATTCATCAGCTTAACCTTTTTCAATATTAAAACACCTTTGACCTTAAATAAGTGTAAGCTAAAGTAAAATGGGAAAAAAATGGTGTTCTGAGGAGAGAGGTGGGTAGTGAAATATTGACTCAAACAATTATCTTAGAATCTTAAACTATCCTTTAAATAACAATATTTGGATCTAACATGAGCTTATTTCCCACCAAATGCACTTCTCTTTTTGGATAACACTATTTGTGTCTGACATCATCATTCACTCTGTATTTGTTGTTCATAATCCTAGTGTTCTTCTCTCTTGCCTCTTATAGCCAATGAGCTGTCAATTCTTTCACCTGTACCTGTACAACATTTCTTGAATCTCTCCCTCATTCTCTGTTCTTATCAGCAAAACCCATTCTAGGCCCTTTCCCTCTGCAGATTATTTTCAACTTATCCTTTCTATAGTTATTTGCATGTTATCTCCCCCATTAGACAATAAACTCACTGCAAACAGGGACTGTCTTTTACATTTCTTTGTATTCCCAGCACTTAGCCTAAATGTTTCTGAACTATTTAAAAACATCTACTAGTTTCAAATTGCCTGAGTAAAAGTTAAAATTCTTTCACCTGCCATTCAAAGGCCTCTACAACCTAACAATATTTTGCCTTTCCAGTTTTATCTAAACTTGTTGCTTTTTATTCACTCCATCCTCAAACACAGCTGAATTATATACTGCCCTATGAATATATATTATGCTTTCATGATTCATGCATCATGCTCTCATTATGGAGACTTTTGTTGATCCCCATTAATAAGTATAAATGTCTTCCATGCTCAGACTACCTTCTATTTATTCTGCAGTTATCTTATATGTTTCTGATTATATATATATATATGTATATATGTGTGTGTGTGTGTATAATAACTGATTTCATACATATGCCATCTCTTCTATTAGAATGTAAGCCTCTTGAGGACAAGAGCTGTTTTTGCTTTTGTCTCCCCACTGCTAAGCAAAGCACTTGGCAGTAAAGGCTTACTAAATGCTTGTCAACTTAGTGATTGTTCCTTTTGCCTGGAATTTCTGCATCTCCCTCTTCACCTCTTGAATGCTTAACACTTCCTTTAAGGTACAACTCAAGTGTTAACTGTACTAGGTAGTGTTCTCTGATTCTCCCCAGTTGGTAACCGTCTTCAGGCTAATGTGTAAAAAAAAAAAAATTGTAGTAATAAAAATATATAGGGTTGCATGAGAAACATTTCTTTACAAAATCTCTAATACACTTAAACAATTTTGTGAGTTACACCTATTTTTGTTGGTGTTTTCTTTCCATGGTAATCTATATTTCTAGGGGTTTCATGTTTTATCTGAACTTTGTATC